TTAATACTGATGTTCAATACATTATGTGTCTGTTCCAAACTTCAAAATCTATCCTCCATCAATTTTAGGATTGCTATTAAGCTTATTACATTTGAAATTAGATTACTTTTTTTCTATACAAATTAACATCTAATTCTTAAAATTGGAATGCTTGAAAATCCTTTACTTAATAATAAGCTATATATATATATTAGATTCAAATATTTTTATAAGATTTGGTTTTACTAAAAGGACTTTGTTTATGGATAATTTAGGTTTTAAAATTTTAGTTTAATTTTAAAAATAAACTATAGAATACACTCCATACTAGAAGCATGGTTTCACAAGGTTGTATTGAATATTGAAATGTTGTCTTGAAACATTTGTTGGAAATTTATCATAAAGAAATTAAAAAAAACTCATATTATTTTGTTGTGATAAGTATCTTGCATAAATAAAAAATATAGATTATATTATAAAAGTCCTTAATTGGAGGATATTATAGAAAATTATTTTTAAAAAAATAGATAAAAGTTGAAGAGGTAATAAAAGTATTCAATATTTATGTTTATTTTTTGTAATTTTGTAATTTTTTTATTTTTTATTTTGAAGAATTATGTAAAATATAAAAATAAAGCGGATTAGAAAAAAAAAAATAGAATAAGCATCTTTAGATAGAATAAAAAAATAGTTTTTAGCAAAAGCTACCTAAAAAAATAGAGATTGATACTCAAAGAAGATTAGTTATGAATTAGTATTGAAATTAGATTCTTAGGCACAAAACCACGCACCTTTAGAAATTGAGAGGGTTCTTTGGTTGTTCACAGAATATGGTAAAGTAATAGACTTTTTAACATTTATTTTTGACATCGATTTTGAGAAGTTTAAATAGATATTGATTTTGTGAGAGTTTTATGAATTTAAGGTTGTTTTAAGTGATTTAGGGTTTTGTAAAATAAATAAGAGATTATATATTTTAAAATATTTTGTGACCATTATATAAAATAAATTAGTAAAAATGTGTAATGTTGTGAATCTATCTATCTTAAATATATTTTATTAATTTGGAATTAACCAAAATTTTAAATCAAAGCTTATTAAAAATAAATTGAATAAGAATCTTGAAGATTAGATTTTAAAGGTCAGTAAAGATTGCTACAATTTTGATCAATTTGGTGGTTGAGTTGAAATGATTTTGTGTGAGTTGATAGTGAACTTAATTTGCAACAGCTTTGCAAGTTTTGAAAGCAAGTGAATGGTACAATAAGGAGCTATTATTGGTAGTAGATTAACATTAAGATTGGAAAAAAAAAAATAGTTGAAATACAAGCAGATTAGAAGATTTTTATGTCAAACTAAAAGTTCAATTCTTTCTAAATTCTGTGTGTGTGTGTGTGTGCGCGTGTGTTTTTTTATCAAAAGATTAAAATGTGTGAAAATTTTGAAGCAAGATCAATAGTTTAATTAATAATTATTGAGGTTTTAAAAATACTACAAAATAGCTTTAGAATTTGAATAGGAATTTTTATAGATTATTTAGAATTTGGTTTAGAATTTATTTAGGATTTAATGCAAATATCTTTAAAATTTAATTAAAATTTGATTAGAATTTAATTAAGATTTGCTTGGAAAATAATTAGATTATTCTTAGGATTTCATATGGATTTGTTATGATTTACATAAGATTTATTTAGTATAACTTTATGTTTTATTTTAGATTTTTTTAAGGATTTTATTTTAGGATTTAAAAAAATAAATCTCCAAGACTTATTTTTTTATTTCTTTAGTGGTTCTTTAGGATTTCTTTAATAATTCTTTAACATTTTATTAAAAGTTGATTAAGATTCTTAAGGTTCAATTGGGATTTATTTATTATTTTATTAGAAGTTTTAGGTAAACTTATATTTTGTAACTAATAAAGAACCTAAAAACTCCTTTGTTTACTCAAGAGATGCAACAACTTCTTAATGGCTAAATACTTACTTGATTCTAGATGTAACAAATTAATGAAATAGAATTCTAGATTAACTTAGTATTTTATGATCATATGCAAAAGTATCTATGGGCTTGCCTTAATATTCACTTTATATTCTTTTAACTTTTAGCTCCACCTTTGGATTTAAGGAGTTAAGCAATCAACTTTGACTTTATACTCCATTGATGCAATGAATACATTCTATTCTTGTATTTAAAAAAAATTAAGAAAAATAAGAAAATAAAATAATATTTATGTAATGTCTATGAAAAAATAAAATAAAATAAAATAAAATATAAATTTCTATAAATTTCATACAATATGATGTGAATGCTTTCAATTTTTTCAACAATAGGTGCATAAAATATATTATAATGTGAAATATTAGTTCAAATTATTTTTAAAAATATCTAAGTATTAATAAATTGAATTGTCATTCAAGTATTTATTAGAGTACTTTGGAAGTTTTACTTATTATATTATTGGTTCTAAAAAATTCTTTACTTATAGAAAATTTTAAATGATTTAAAATGCTTACAGATTTTTTGTATCTTTAGATTTTTATATTATATATTATGATGGATACTTACAAGAAGTAAGATTGGTTTTTATGAAAAATGTTTTAAAAATATTTTTGGTAGCTTCTAAAATAATATTTGAATAATAAATCTTAATTTTTAAATTTATAATGTCTAATTTAAGCATATCAAGATACTAATAATAACAATATGTAGTGGCATAGTAGATTAAAGAGGTGCATGAACATATTTACAAGAAGATTATAAAAAAAAAACAACAATGGTTATGTTGCTATAGTATATGGCAACTTTAATTGTTACTTATTATGTATCATATAAATAAGAATTAAATTCTAATTGGTTTTAATTTAAGTGTAAAGTTTTTAAGAAAGTTAAATTAAAAAAATACTTTGTATATTTGTAATAAGTGATTTTTATAAATATTTATTTGAACTTAAAGTCTTATGCTTTTGAAGACCTAAAATATTGGAATGTATTTATTGTTTATTATATAGATTGTAAAATTTGATTTTGTAAACATGTTGTACAACAAATTTGTGAAAATAATACTAAATTATTTATTTTTTTATTTTCAGAATTGCTGTAAAAATACTATGATTGATTATGAAAGAATATGGTATAATACTAAACTTAGAAGTTTAAAAATTATTGTAATATACTAAATTATATATAAAACTAAAAATATCAAAGATATTATATATATTAGAAAAAAAGATTAACTAGCAACTAAAAACATCAAAGAATAATATGTTTATGTTTATAAATACAAAATAATAATATCAAATCTTATATATAAATAAATGAAGTTAGAAAGAAAATCGATCACAAAATCATCAACAAAAGGGAGTTGTTAATACATTATTTTGTATTTTTTTAAAAAATAACTTACGTCTATTAATAAATAAAAGGATTTAAATTATTTGTATCTATTATAATAAAATTTTAAAACTTTGGATGGATAATCCAATTCAAAATATTAAAAAAAAGAATAATTTTTTGGAGGATTATAAAATATTGGAGAATGTAAAATATTTAAGTCAGTATTACTTTTGATAAACATACAACAATACTTCATAATAATACATTTAAAAATATATATTTATCTTAAAATATTTGATATATTCTCACAATTTTATTATAAATTATTTAGGGTATCAAGCATAAATATATAAATTTTGAAGTTGAATAATAACATCATAATTGTAGTTTTAAATTCAGAGATATTAGGTCTATTTATTATTGTATATATTAAAATAAAAATAAAAAATTAATCTTAAATTTTCTTTATCTTTAAACAATATAAAGAGTTGTCTATATATATACAGACTTCTACTCCAGTCTCTAGTTTATAGACTCTATTAATCTGATATAGAATAGAAAATTTAATCTTGGTAAATAATGAGGCACACTTGTTGAGGTAGATGAAGCAAAGAAGGTTGTAATATTGTCAAGGGGTCACATAATACAACTAGATGTGAATAATTGTATGGTGTTTTTATTTTAATAGATTGTTAATTTTGCATGCTGTAGAAACAATATGGACATGAAATTTTGTACTAAATCTACTTTCATGTTTTATAATTATAGATTGTCCAAAAATTTAAAAATCTTTAACTAATAAATTTTATAATACAATCATCTTGACTTTGTACAATGAATATAGCCATGTAACTTTTTGTTTAATCATAAACATGTGATATATTTATTAGTGTTTTAAATTTAACATTTTTAAAAGAAAAAAGTAATAATCTAAAATATGGAATTAGTAATGATTTTGTGGAATCACTTTTCTAATGCATAAACAATTATCATACATTAAAGAAAGACATAGTTTGTTTTTGAAAAAAAATAAAAAATAAAAATGAAAGATTAAAATTGAAATTTGAAACAATAAATAACATAAACAAGTTCCTTTATTGACAAAAATTGTAAGTGTAATTTTCTCAACCAAATTCCTAATTAAAAATTTTATTACATAATATATTTACATATTAAATTATAATATAGCAAAAAAAGATGTCTCTACTATGTGCCATTGTATATTCAATATCTTTAGTTTGAGACACGATGATAACCAATCTACTTAAGTTAAATATCACTTGATTCATTCCTCTTCACCGAATAAGGCAGTGATTGTTTTTCTTTTTCTTTTTCTTTTTTAGAATGAAAAATTACCAGCCACTTATACAAAAGTTTTTTTACTCACTGCATAATATATAAATATCAAGGAGATTTTTAAATGTGTTTTTTTTTTTTTTTTTAATAGTTATACTGTTCAGATTACATATATTCATTATCTCTCTCTCCGCAAAGCTGCTGCAAAGCATTATTTCGTTCGTTTTTAAGTACCTCAACTCAACATCAATATAACAACAAAGAAGCTTCAGTAATTTTTTGGATGTGTTTAACAGTAAGTGATGAGGAAATGCTTGGATAACACTCAATCAACGCCAGTTCGATCCCGCGGGCGGTGGGAAAGTTCATACTACCCACTTAGGGTTAGGGCTTGCTGAAATTCTCGCGCTTCACTATCCCTGATCACCAGAGGTCGCGGTTTCGATCAACGAAGTGCTTTCAAGTTTTGGAAGTCATCGCTTTCAGAATCGTTCAAACAGATTATATGGCGTTGGGGGTGTGATTTATCTCCGCAGACGACCTCACCAGGATGGAGCTCGGCGACAAGGCAGCAGGCTGCTTGTTGTTGCTGTTCAGCACCACGCTCTTCGCTTACTACACATTCTGGGTTATAATCACGGTACGCGTAATAACTTGCCTTTGGAGTGTTCGCAAGTCTCTGAAAGTGTATTGCGAGTGGCCGGATCGCTTCAAGGGCTGCGTTTATTTTCTTATTTTCCCTCTTGGATTGGAGGTTTGAGTGCATATTGATTTCTGCTTAACTAATATTTCTGCGCATACCTTATCTCAATTTTGATGGTGGGACTTTTGGAGATTATTGTATTGATTATTAACTGAATGATGTTTTCAGCCTTTCGTGGATTCGGACCACTTCGTGCACAGTTACTTCCCTGCCCGGGAGTATGCAATTATCATTCCTGGAATAGCTCTCGTAGCACTTGTATCCTTTGTGCTTGTTTTTGTTGGATTCGTCATGGTGAGATCCAGCCAGGCGAAGGCAAAGTCTAAGCCAAAGACGAATTGATCAGAGGTTTGTCATTCATCCTGCAACTCACCATCGTCTTCGCTGGTGAATCGTATATGGTCCCTCTGCTCTAGGCTGTGTTTCGTATACCGGGAACTTTCCTCCATCTTTGATGCATCGCAACTTTATGTCTAGACGCTGAGAATTGTGACAGAGTCAGGCGCGTGGGAAAATGTTTCAGGTGGTCACATGTGGAATCTCTTCATCATTGTGGTGATTGCCTGAAGTGGCGAGAAGTCTTATTTTTTGGAGCTCCGGATTTTTGGATGTTGCTATTTAGGATGCTCCCCTACACACAGTGTGTGTTAATTTTTGTGTGTTTTAAAATTTTATCTTTTTTATTATATATTTTAAAAAGTTTTAAATTGCTTCATTTATGCAGGTCTAAATTGCGAAATCTTGTTTCCACTGTACACCCGGATTACAGGATTAAAGAAAATTTATGTCAAATCTTTGCTCGAGAATTTACTAGCACAGAAATGATAGGAGGCACCAGCTCTCCATGGGCAACATTTTGAAGAGCTTCACAGCAACTGTAACCACTTTGGTAGCCATCCACGCAATAAGACGAGAGTGCTATCCCTAGTGCTTTCTTATGGTTAGCCTTTGAACGGAGTTATAGTCTTGAACAGACAGATACATTTCACATTGTTCTCATCCTTTTCGTGCTGCAATTTGCGTCCTTATTCCTGGATTTAGCATTTGTACGTCTCATCTTAGTGAAAGATGTGCCATCTGCACAATTCTGGTGTATTGCTGCCTATTCTTCTGGAACCAGCTTCCAACTGCTTTTCACCCTAAGTTGTGAAATTCTGCTGCGTCACGGCCTGAAAGTGCCAAGGTTGTGCAAATGTCCAGACTTGTAGATCTAAAGATGTGTGTTACATTAAACCCCAAGATGTACAATGAGGTAGAATTTCATTCTTCATTTGCAACTCCAAATCCAATCAAGTCCAGTTAGTGATCACCCTTTTAAGACCTTTTGCCAGACTTTTTCAAACACACTAAATTTTTCATTGTGGATGTTCGATTGTTGATATGGTATGAACATTCCAAATTCATCTTTTCTCGCATTTTGAATTCGAAAGATCTTCGTCTCAAATTTCGGAATGTGTCAATGGATCAACACATCACTGCTGTAGGTTTATTTTTACTTACAGGCACCTAGTTTTGAAAGTCTACCTTTAAATTGGCATTGAGTAGATGAAAGTTATTGGAAGATAATTGGAGTTTATGTGTACAATGAGGTGGCATCTTGCGCTTAGAGTTATTACCCACATTAGCCCCTATCTAGATGTCATTGCGCTCACAGCAGTCTTTGGGAATGATCGAATTTTGTTGTGATTTGTGTGTTGCCAATTGTAAGTGTATTTCTGTTGACGTTTGCAATCTTTGTTGCTGTGATTCTGTTGTAACACGTTAAGCGGTTCGTAAGTTCGAAACAGTTCCGAGCAGGTTTGCTCAAAGATGGGACATAATCAAAGTGGATTCTGTTAACACTCATGTGCCTCGGTGGCCCAGACTACTTCGGCCCTTGAGAGAAGTTCATGAACAAAGGTCTTTCCCAGGACCAAGTTCACGAAGATTTGCCATGACCTAGAGGAAGGCTGTGATTTCCTGTGCACTTAGCACTTCTCCATTTGAAAGCAGTTTCTGATCTTTAGAGATTTTAATTAATATGGCTCATCTTCATGGCAATGTTGGAGCAAATCTTGTTTTATGCTCCAATAATTTTGTTTACATCATTAGAATTTTAATCATATTTAGTTTGTAGTTGGTAGTCATAGTTAGCAGAGATGGTGAGGTAAGAGACACAACTTTTAAAGCTTCTGATTGGTTGAAATTAAAAGGCTTTTCTTGGTTTGTTGTATATGTATAAAATTAATAAAAAGTTATGAAATAAAAAAATAAAGTGTCTATATATATATATATATATATATACATATATTTCTTCTCTTAGTATAAATAATATTATTTTATAGAATATGTATTAAGTTCACTTCAAAAATTAGTTTTAAAAAAAAATCAAGAAATCCTATTAGAAATTATTATTATATATATATATATATATATATATATATATATATATATATTAGGGAGTTGTTAAAGCCACACTCCCATTTTGTTAATGTGTCAAGGACATGAATCTTGAAGAAAGTTGTTAAAACCACACTCCCATTTTGTTAATGTGTCAAGCAAATGAATCTTGAAGAAAGAGAGTCCTCAATACACTCTTCTATCACTGAAGAGAACTAGAAAGTCACTCAAAAGGTGATGTAATATTAACTAGAATGGCTATTGCCAAAAACAAGAAGACTAAAAAAACTTGAAATAAGACTAAGACTGGAAAGGTGTTGACAAGAATGAAGAAGACTTCACTCTTGCCTCCATATATACTATCTAACTAAGAGCTACATGGCGATGTCCTATAGGACCTCCAACATGTATTGACTTTGCTAGCCACATGTCTTATCTTGCAAGGCAAGTTATCTATGTATGCGCCACGTAGTTGTCTTGTTCTACAAGCTATTACACGGAGGTAACTTGTTCGACAAGCTACCAATACATGGTTAGCTTTTTGACCAAGTTTCTAACCTATGAACACATCTAAAGTCAAAACCACATCTATGAAGCTTCTAGGAAGTTTCTCTAGAAGACTTTATGAAATTATTCTATTTTACGTACTTCTACTTAATCATATAAGTAACTATTGAGGTAAATATATATGTCCGTGACATTACTCTTCCTTCTAGGAACAAGTTCCACAAGGAGTGGTCTTCATATGTTGAGGAAGTCCAAGATGCGACGAATTATATTTGCTACATACTCCGATCTTTGCTCTCTTCGAAGATGGTTGATAGGTCCTCTCAATCATCTATAGTGTCCCATCCCAGGGCAAGAAGACCACCCTGTTATTTGGTCATTGTTAAGGCCTTCGTAACTTCCTTCAAATAAAACATTTGGAACACTATCAAGAGTTGTTCCTACCTCTAATAAAATCACTAAACATCGCGAGTCTCTTTCAAGGTCATGATATCAAATACGTTGTATCTTGCCATCTATTCGAGGAAGGACATGTCGTTCTTGACGATCTTCATCTCGATTTTGTCATCTTGAAGGTTGTGACAATCACAATGTCTTGTCTTATAAGTCCGCAAATGATAGTTCTTGAGTTGAATCTGCTGGTTGTTGGTTCTCCATCTCATCACAAATACACAGAAGCTACAATGAAAGATAGAAGGTAGAATGTTATTTTCCTTTGATCTTGTTTCTTTTATAGCAAAGGTTTGCTATTCTTTATCTTGGTTTTGATGGATGTCGTTGATGAAAGACTTCAACTTTCTTTGATGCATTTGAAAGATTCTTTCATGGCTCCCATGTGCGTTCACTAATATTGTATCCATGCCAATGAATAAGATATTCCAACCTATTTCGGCGCCACCTTGAGTCTAAGACTTCTTCCACCTCAAATTCTTGGTTATTATCCACTTCTATAGGGGGAGGTGGCATTTGTCTTCTTTCCAAGATATTCACTATCTTATACGGCTCCAGAAGAGACACATGAAATATAAGGGTGGATCTTCATAGACTTCGGTAGATGTAATCGATAGGCAACAGGATTTATTTGTTCACAAATAAGAAAAGGTCTGAGCCTACGATAATCTAATTTATCACAGGACGAGTAGTCTTGATATTATGAAGAAGTAACCATACCTTGTTGCTTATATTATATTGTGCTTGCTCCTTGTGATAGGCATCCATGTTGGTCTTTTGTCGTTCTTGAGCTTCTTTTAATTATATCTTCATTGTTGTATGTAGCTTTGACAAGCAATTTGCTAAATCTTCCGCCGTAGGATTATCAAAATTTGAAAAGTCAAAAGTATCAAGTCGTGGATGATAACCATAATTGGCAAAGAAAGATGTTTGTTGAATGGAAGAATGTATCGAATTATTATATGCAAACTCTGCCAATGGTAAAAGAGTTGTCCAATCATCTTGATGATAGTTGATGGTATGTTTCAAATACTGCTCCAAAACTTGATTTATCCATTCTGTTTGTCTATCAGTTTGAAGATAAAAAGCTGAAGAAAGCTTTATATCCACCTTTAGAATCCTGAATAGGATTCTCTAAAATCTTGATACAAATTGAGTCCCCCTATCCAATATAATATCCTTTGGCAATCCATGATAGCAATAGATATTATCAATGAAAAGCTTAACTGTTTCTTCACCTATGATAGATTTTATACATGGTACAAAATGTACCATCTTGATAAAACGATCTTTAATCTACTATCACTTATATAGAGTCATAAGAACTTGAGATTGGAAGATCCGTGATGAAATCCATAGAAACAGAAGACCATGGTTGTTCTGGAATAGGTAATGGCTGAAGAAGTCTGTAAGGTCGATGACAAGGAGTTTTTGATCTTGAACAAACATCACAAGATTGTACAAAATCTTTGACTGTTTTCGACATTTGCGGCCACCAAAAATCCCTAGATATTAATTCCAAAGTTTTATTGTATCCAAAATGTCCTACTATTGGAAAGTCATGATGAGCTTGAAGAACACGTAATCAAGCTTCACCTTCTGGAACATATAGGTGTCCTTCAAAATATAATAGATTATTCTTGAATTCAAACTTGGAAATATCATGGGATTTAGAGGAAGTATCCTTGATATCCTGAACAAGAAGATTAGAAGACATGCTTGATTGAATTCGCTTCACAAATGATGAATCAACAATCATTGTTGATTTTATAGCTCAAAGATGAAAATGCTCGGGCTTCAAGAGAATTGATCTTTGTTGATCAAAAGATGTATCTCCTTCTTTTGGTACAAGATAAAAATGTCTAGAAAGAGTGTCTGATAGACCTTGTTGTTTTTCGGATCGATAAGTGATCTTGAAATTGAATCTAGATAAAGACATGCTCCAACGGGCTTGATGACAATTCAAGATATGTGGTGACATGAAGTACTCGAAGTTCTTATGGTCTGTATACATTGTAATTGAACTTGACATGCCTTCTAGATAATGATGCCATTCTTGAAATGAATCCACAATTGTATGGAGCTCTTTGTCATGGATCTCATAATTAATCTCGGATGTTGAAAATTTCTTTGAATGGAAAGCTATTGGATGGAGTTTGTCATTTATTCCTATTTGTGATAATATGACACTTATAGCAAAATTTGATGCGTCTGTTTCTATAAAAAATATCTTGAAGAAGTCAATACAATATAAGTTTGGTGTAGAAATAAATTCATTCTTTAAAGCATCAAATGATGCTTCTGCTTCTTTATTCCACTCAAGTTTGTATTTAGAAGTCAAACATGTAAGTGGAGTTGCAACTTGAGAAAAATTCTTGATGAAGATTCGATAGTAATTAGCAAAGCCCAAAAAGCATTGCACATCTCGTACTGTTCTTGGAATCTTTCAATCTATGATAGTTTGAACCCTGTTGGGATCCATTGTAAGGCCTTCATTGGAAATGATGTATCCTAAAAAGTCAACTTGAATAGTGTGGAATACATACTTTTTCAAATTGGCATATAATCCTGTATCTCTAAGTTTTTGTAACATGCAACAAACATGAAGCTCATGTTCTTCTGCGTTCTTAGAGTAGATTAGAATGTCGTCTAAATAGCAAACAACAAAATCATCTAAAAATTCACAAAAGAAATCATTCATAAGATGTTGAAAAGTGGCCGGTGCATTCGTGAGTCCAAAAGGCATGACATTATATTCAAAATATCCATACTTAGTTCAAAAAGTAATCTTCCATTCATCTCGTTCT